TCGCGGGCCGGATTAAAGTCCTTTGCGGGCCGGATCCGGCCCGCGGGCCGTACGTTTGACACCCCTGGAGTAAAGCATCGAAACACTGATCAGTTGGACTCGTGCATTTAAAAGTTTAATTTAGTTCACTTGTCAGGGTCTTAAAACAAGTCACTATGAATATGCAATCATCACAAGTGCCCTTGGTTGTCTGTTGATGCTATTTGTTTATTTATTTTTATTTTACATATTTATATATTTATGTCTTATGAAATTTTAACGTAAATTTTAGTTGTGTGTTCAATGCACTACATGTTTGCATTGTGGTTGAGAGAGGAAAGTAATTTCATCTGTGCTGTATGTTACACACTGAGCATATTTGACAATAAAAGCTGACTTGATTTGAAGGTTTTAGCGCATTTGAGGCCAAATCCAATAGAAGTGTCGTTTGATTCAACAATAGAGGCATTCTAGTCCAAGTGTGCGTTTGGTTAACATCCTGAAGGTACTTACTAATAACTGTGCTTTAAATCAACAGTCCGAAAAAGACATTAAAACCCACATTTGGCCCAGATTTCAAAATTTGGCTTCACAGACATGTCCAAAAAACACAGTATTGTAGCATAGCAGTGGTTGGTTGAGTGACGACACACATGTGCTACGCCAGTTCAATAAAGACCGTTGACAAAGCAAGTCGTCTGCTCACGTTTTCGGACACAACACGTATTAGTCATTATTCGTCATCAGAAGTGAAAGAGCCTCTCCAGCGGTAGTTCTTCACCTTGTTGGAGGTACCGAAGCCAACCAGTTCATATGCACATTCACCGAACCCTTCATTAGTGAAACATAAAAATATGATTCAAGAAGTGTTCCATTTGTTTTGCCGATGTGAGACCAGAGTTGCTCAACTTGGCATAACAAATCATGCAGATTCCTCGCCAAGTCCCATAACGTTCCGTGATGCATGTGAAGCCATGTTGTACCAACCACTTTTTTTTTTTTTTTTGCCTGACATAGCATGTATTCATTTTTTTTTTTTTTAATTACTGTACACGATGTACTATCACGACAGTCACACATTGACGACTGAGCAAACTAAACACTGATTGGACAAGCGATGTTATGTGATCATCTGCAGCGGGTGTGTCGTATGTAATTGACATGTTGAGTTGGGTGTGTCTTAACCTCCAAGGCAGAGGCTCCATCGAACCCCTGAGAACGATTCATCGAACCCTTAGGGTTCGATTGAACCCAGGTTGAGAACCACTGCTCTACAGTGATTTCATGTAGGAAGATAAGTGTTGTAAACAATCGGCAAAGATTGACAAATTAAGTGCATGTTGTCATGAGATTTGGTGGTATTGCATTAAAGTATTGATAAAGTAGCATCCATTTTTCAGGCAGGTGTAGTTTCACACATTCAGACCCTTTTTTCACTATTCTGTAGCCGCTTATATACTTTGTGTGTCTGTGTATGCATGCATGTGTGTGTGTGTTTTTTTAACTTTTCAAATTTGTCTATGTGTCCCAAACTGAAAAGATCATTACTTTCCAAGGACTTGAAGGGTAATGGTTAAGTCAGTTTCATGGACCAAAACCATGTCAAGATTTTCTGTCAAACAATACATTTATGATCTTTTTAATCATTTGACACAACCCATTGATCTATCCAGCCGTCTTACAGAGAATGACTAGTGACAGCTCCTTGGATGACGGAAGACAAAAGGCTCGCTGATACTGCAATTAGTGTTCTTTGCCTTCAAGTTCGTCGTCGTGTGTGCCTCGTTGAGTTGCATTAAAACAAGAAAAATGTAGCGAAATTTTGATTTAGAGTCTTTGCTGAGTGTATCTGGGAACTTCACAGGTGAGAATCTTCAGCTCATTTCCCTCACGTACCAGTCTGGCAGAAAAGAATAAGAGGAGTCCCTGTGGACCGAGTAGGTCACGTCACAGCGAGGATTCCAGCAGAACAGATACACCACACTGAAAGACAGAGAATATATTTTAAGAAAGCATTCCGTGTGCCCTGCTCAGGCATTCATCTACATTTTCTCGTTTTATAAAAAATGATCATGTTAAATTTTTTTTATATACTGTATAACTTATAATGATTGGCGACAAGGAAATCATCAATAAATGTGAATATTTTCAGAAAGTACTTGTAATTATTTGCACTAAAACAACGGGGAAAATTTGGAAGAATGGTTATTCACGGCTCATTGGGCCATGAATATGCTGGGAACTCACCGGGGATCGTCTTCGGTAACCACGCACTTGACAAATGTCAGGAAGTCGCTGCAGAAGTTCATGCATACTGTCGGCTTCCAACACCTATCCTCGGCCTGCTCCACAAGACGCAGACGCGTTGTCGCGATCGTTCGGTTCACGTTAAGATGCGGCCAGCTGCAACGCCTACCTTGATGAGCCGCGAAATCTTGGAGATGTGGAAAGTCTCAACGGAGATAACAACTCCGTCATCATCCCGGAAGCCCGCCACGACGCGAGGGACTCCGGGGAGGAAGGACTGTGCCCACCACTTGAGCAATTTGAACCTGATGCGCAAACAATCCAAAATCTTAATCCAGGGCAATCCCTAAACCAGTAATCGGCAATCTTTAGTGAGACATGGCACATATTTGACATTTTTCACCGGTAAAAGGTGCTCCGCTGTTTGGGGGTAGAGATCTCTGCGGACGTCTTGAGCTCCACGTAGCAGGCGGGAGGAGCCGCAGCGTTCGGATCTTTGTCCCGGCAGTCCACCTCGCCGGAGAACAGCAGCCTGTGATCTGAGAGACGAGTTTGGACCACGGTGCAGAAGGCCTCGTTGGTGTTGACCACGCCGCTCGAATCGGGGGAGCCGTCCACCATATCTTTTTGAGAGATGTATTGTATGTTTTCAAGGCAAAGGAACTTGTGACAAAGTACAGCAGAAAGTGACCCTAATGAGGGCTAGTCCTTGAGAAAATGAATGGTTGGGTTGCCAAGTTATCACATTGAATGCCATATGTGATAATCTTTTTTATTTGGCCTTGGAAGTCTGTTTGCACTAGCCTCCCTTCCCATGTAACTGCAACTCCCCTGTATGCTAACAAAGGAAACTTGAACTGGAGGTGTCTGACCATGAAAAAAAAAAACAAAAACAAAAAAAAAAAAAACGATCAAATGTACGTCCGTACCTGCGCACATAAACTGCTCAAATTTGTATCCCCAATACATCATTTCCTGGTGCCTCCCGGTGCGAGTCTCTCGATCCCGGCGAGCGGCATCCGTTTCCACTTCGCTGACGTAAAGGGTCCCCTTGAATTTGGTGACGGCCAGCAACCAGCCCTCTCGTGTTTCGTAGGGCGTGGTCAGAAGTTTGGTCAAATGGCCTCGCCACGTCACAAAGTCGACATCGAAACCTCTGCAAGGGAGAGTGAAAACAAACAAAAAAAAAAAAAGGTCAGTGTGGTTGACGTGGTTGTCGTCTCATCCCAATTGTGGAACTTACTGTACTGTATCGACACACACACTGTCAAATATCAAACAGGCAAAGCGAGCGTACTGAAAGGCTATATGTTTTTTTTTTTTTTTACACGGCATTGCGATTAGTATTAAATTTGTGCAATGCGAATTAAGCAGGAAAATCCACCTGTTTTCAGCCATCACAAATGTGATGAGGTAATTTGAAGTCGTCAGCAAGTGACAAAATGGCTGCCCCCTGAAATAGGTAAAAACGGGTGGATTTTGCTGCTTAACTCCTATTCCACAAATGCAACATTAATCAGAATGGTGTGTTTGGACTGGTGAAGGCATATAGTTGCAAGAAAAAAAAAATGTTGGGGGGGGGCGACTTCCCCTTTAATACACGACGCCATTGAATTAAAGCATAAAATCATGATGCAAAAACTGTTATTAATTATGTCCATTCTATGTAACTGTTAGTGTATGTTTATAATGTGCGGTGTGGAGTTCTATTTTTAAAATGTCCATTCATTTAAAGCAGTGCTTTGAATTATGATTGCGGTTGTGGAACAAATTCAAATCATCAAGGAAGTAGTGTGACGTCGGTCGGATGGCAAATAAATCTGCGATTCCCACCTCTACTTACGATGAAGACGACGCCTCCGCCCTCCGTGTGAGCTTCGTTCTATTGGCCAAGATCCATCGGAGGATGTGGTCCAGCTTTTCCTTCACACTTTCATCCCTTTTTATATAACGGTCCCCATATCCGTCCCGCAGGTGAAAATGTGGGCTTTTTTCAGGTTCCACATAGTACCTCAGCTGCCTGCTGTCATTGAAGAACCTGCGTTCAGAGTCCAGAGAAAAGGAGCCCACTTCGACAGGCTGCTTGTACAGGGGGAAGTCTCTTTCGTAAAGGTCTCTGCTGGTGCTCAAAGACTGAGCGCTCTGTGGCATTGGACGAGCTGACAGCCAGGACTGGTGCTGCTGATGGTTTGGTTTGGAAGATTTATATCTTCTGTCATTTTGTTCACTATCATCTCTCCATCTCTTGCATGTTTGCCGCTGCTGTTGAAAGCTGGAATTGTGGGAACGGTGCTGGTTCATGCTTGCCTAGTGGGGAGAGAGAGGAGGGAGTACATGAAATAACCTAAAACAGTGATCCTCAATTGGTAAATTGCGAGGAGCGGATAGGAAATTGCAGTCAACTCCAGGGTTGTCCAAACTACTGTAGTCAACTTGGATGAATTAGAGCGGAGACTTAGAAAGTCAGGCCATGTTAACCAGCATCAGTGTGTGACCTTACACATGTGCTGCTGGAAGGATGGTCAAAAAAATCAATCCAAACACACGCCTAAATCTTATGGAAAGCCTTGCAGGAAGAGTTGCAACTGTTATTACTGTAAAGTCAACCCAAACACACGCCTAAACCTTATGGAAAGTCTTGCAGGAAGAGTTGCAACTGTTATTACTGTAAAGGATGGGCTAACAACATTTTAAAACCTAGGGATTCAGAATGGGATGTCAAATTGAGTCAAGGCAGCTGAGCGAGTACTTTATGTGCATCCATTTTTATATTGCATTTGAACGTGTGTGCATGTGCTCTCAACAATGATACACGAAATTATGAACAACGCGGTTGAAAAAAACGCTTATAGCATGTTATGTTGTTGTTGTTTTACGCCACTTACCTCATTTAGGAGTACCAGAGTCGGTCATGCTGAAACACGACTCAAGAATGCTGAGTAGTCAACATTTTCCCTATCTGTAATTGGGATTAGTCGGAGCTGCAGGGGAAACATGAAAAAAAGAAGAAAGGGAAGCTAGCAAGCTAACTAGCGTATATAGCTATCCCCCAAAACAGCGCTGTTCCTGCTTCGCTTTTAGGTCTAGAAAGCGGCCTGTGCAGTCATTATTCGGCGCTGGCGCCTGTTTCGGAACCTACACCATCAGGCTCGATACCGATCAATTATGTTTGCTATATTCGTAGAAATATGCCAAAATAAACACAACAACACAAACCCGGGACATGCAGAGATCACTGTTAACCATCGGGGTCAGTATTGCAATTGAAATTGGCTGGAAGTCAGTTCGAAGAAGAAGAAATCATAGCAGTCTACGGGGTATGTAATGACGACTGTGACCAGAGAGGGCAGTATGGTGAAATGGCGTGACTCATTCTTTTACAGAAGAAGACTAGTAGACCATCGCAAAATAAGTGTTCAAGCTAACCCAGGTGACACGTAGTTCAATCGAAATGAGGTGTTTGTGTGTACTTCTGCCAATAGTAACCGTTCAGGTAAGAGCTTGACGAAATAGAAAATACAGTACACGTTTCTTCAAATCACATTCCACTACTTTCTTAGAGCTTATGATACAAAGCGTAATTAAAATAAAACCATTCCGTTTGGACTGACTTGCTATTCCACTTCACGTCATTCTTGTTTAAGTGAGTGCTGTTTGCACTTAAATTTTGATTTTTTTTTTTTTTTTGAAGATCATTCGTCTATGTTCCGAGTTGGGAAAGAACGCCAGTAACATATACTACTGCTACAATAAGAATAAGATTGTCTTTATTGTAACAGGTACAACTAATTGAAGTTGCATCTTTTCTACTTCTCCAGGTATGAATAGAAAACGAGCTCTGATTTCCGACATTTTCAAGGTGAAGAAAAGCCGAACTGCTACCGAGAAATTTGGTATCAAGAGTGATGAACAAGGTCAGTGCCACATCTTTATGGGCCTATAGTTTGTGTTTTTAACTTAGCGCGGGGTTGGTTACAATAAGGTCAACTAAAATACCTTCTGACCCAAAAGGTCCGCCAGATGTTCGAGCGAGCCTGGAGTACCTCATGACGCTGTTCCCCAGAAAGCTTTTCAATGACACTTTGCCTCAAATTGTACTCAAGCACCAACTGTACAGCATTCACCATGACAAGACTCTGGTGGACAAAGAGGTGGTATGTTGATTCGCCCTCTATCCTCTCTCTCAATCTGATTTCACATTTCTGTTCCCAGTTGTCATATTTGTGACATGCTTTTATCGAAAAACCTCATGAAACAAGAACGTCACTTTACACATCCATTTTTTCTTTTGTCTCGCTGAAATTGTCTTATTTATAGGGTGCGCCACTTTTCACCTTGTGCGCTTTTTTTTACCATGTGTAATATCAAGTGAGTTTTTGCTTGCATTTAGGCAGTATGATAGCTACTGTAATACTATTGATCAGCCTCATGTGAAGGTGTTTTGTTATGTCATCCTGTTAAATAAGGTTGGGTAACCTTTGACCCATGGGCCATATTATGGCCCGTGAGAGCATTTGATCGACTCACCTTGGTCCCCGATAAGAAAGAAAAAAAAAAGTTCCCTTGTTTTCAAACCATACCCGGATGGAGTCTCATTGTAAAAGCCCAAACAAAACGCCTGCAGAATAAGCTGTGCGAGAATGGGGAGCTGCTCATGTTCCAGCTCGGCTTCGACGCCGAGGCATTTGGCCTGGTTTTCACGTCCGACTACAAGGCCAAAGTGTTGGCCGGAGAAGAGGGCAAAGCGACTCGAGGGACGGTGGACAAATTCTTGGAGAAAGTTTTGTCGCCTTGCACAGATCTGAGCTTCAACAAAGACCAGATGATCAGGGAGTTCCTCTTCACGGATGCTGAAATCACGTAAGTCAAGAAAAAAAACTGTTTTTTCTAACGTGTGAAAGACTTGACGGTGAAATTAAATAAGGACTTTGGTCTTGTATTGGTTCACATAGCTGCATTTTATGCAGTGGGTTCAATTCCCACTCAGTATGTTCTTCAGAATTGCGTTTGTGATGTAAGCAGAACAGAGCGTAGTAGTCGGGTTAGGCAGAAATCGGTATTGTCGAAAAATGGATGGATGTGTCGTTTTATTGTATGTCATACAATATTTGAATAAACACAATTTTAATATAATTTCGGTAGGATTCAGTTTGATACCTCAGAATGGGAATGAGCGTTCATAAAAAGTCCTTGATAAATGAACATGACCAATTAAACAATCAACGATGAATACCTCAATTCATCAATATTTTTGTTGCCTTCCAGGCAACTGGTGAAAGCCGGGGTGCTGACTGTGAGGGACGCCGGCAGCTGGTGGCTCTCCATTCCCAACTCTGGCAGATTCACCAAATACTTCATACAAGGTGGGTGTCAAGGTATGCTCAGGAATACTTGCGGGTGGTAGAAAAGTAACTGTTGACCGCTGATCTGAACTGGAACAATGATAAAAATTTGTTTAGGGTTGCCAGATATCACCCTAAAGATTGTTTTAAATTTCAAGTATAAAAAAAAAAAAAAAAAGTATTAATCCAGCTATGGGAGGATAAATCAAGTGGAGGTCACTAATAACTCACAAATACAGTGATCCCTCGCTACTTCGCGGTTCGTTTATCGCGGATTTTTTTCAAACATAAAAAAAAAATATATATATATATATATA